GTTGGTTGGAAGGCAGTAATTTGGGCAGCAGCAGAGCCAGGGCTCGGAGGCTGCAGGAGTGAGGTAGAAGAGGAGCTTTCCCCGTGGAGGGTGGGATGTGGTTACAGCCTATGAGTGTCTGAGTGGGGGAAAAAAAAGCCTCTCTTAACGAAATCGAGAGCTGTACGTGACAGCTGGAAGCTAAAAGCAGGGAATTTAAAAATAGAAATATGGCACATATTGCTAAAGTGAGAAACCCAGACCTGGGGAGCAGCAGATGAGGGTTCTCTTTGTGCCCCTCGTGAGGGGGCACCTCTCCATCCTCGCCCTGGGGGCACCGATACGGTACCTTCCCAGCCACTTCCCCCTGTCACTGTCACCCCTTCATCCCCCCTTTTCTCCCTCACCCCAAATCCTCATTTCCCACCATGCCTGTGGGGCCGAGGGAGGGAAGGGCAGGTGTCCCCAGGCCACCACAGCCCCAGTCTGGGACTCACCCTGGGGTCTTCCCACTCAGCTCGTCATCCCCTCCCAAATATTTGATCCCCAAGGATCAATCAGTGAATGATTTTACCACCTCAGAGATCCACCAGGGGAAGCAGTTCCCACATTCACACCTCGCAGCAAACCAGAACTCACAGATCTATATTTTTCCTTTTACAGTTTCCTCCCTCACTGCCTTTTCTTTTATCTCTTCCCTTCCCTTCCCTTCCCAAACCTTCCCTTCCCAAACCCTCCCTTCCCTTCCCAAACCTTCCCTTCCCTTCCCTTCCCAAACCTTCCCTTCCCTTCCCAAACCTTCCCTTCCCAAGCCTTCCCAAACCTTCCCAAACCTTCCCAAACCTTCCCTTCCCAAGCCTTCCCAAACCTTCCCTTCCCAAACCTTCCCTTCCCAAACTTTCCCTTCTCAAACCTTCCCAAACCTTCCCAAACCTTCCCTTCCCAAACCTTCCCAAACCTTCCCAAACCTTCCCAAACCTTCCCAAACTTTCCCTTCCCAAACCTTCCCCTCCCTTTCCCGGGAAGTTTCTGGATCCGTGCTCCCTGCCGGCTGTTCCAGAGCCCTCACACCGGCCCCTCCCTCCTCCCTGCGCTGGGGCTGGAGCCCCATCCTGCTCTTCCAGGGGCGGCTTCAGCTGACGAGGAGAGGCCGAAGAGCTCGGGGGTTGTTTCAGGGGTGGGAGTGAAGGGTTTTGAGCGGCCTCGGAAGGGCTGGCAGGGTTGAAGCCCCTCCTGCCCCTCGGAGCGGTGGCAGGAACAGCTCCCGGTCCCCAGCCCGGCTCCGAACACTCCGGGGCTCCCTCGGGCTTCAACCGAGCCCAGTGCGTGTGAGGAAGACGAAAAGAGCCCCGCCGATGGGGCCGGCCCTCTGCCCTACCCCGTGCAGTGCCAAGGGCGGCGATGGCACCGGGAGATGGCACCGGGTTCTGGCAGCGGGCTCGCCGAGCTCGCCGGGCGTGGGCGAGTTTGCTGATCCACGCAGGGATGGCTGAGCAGCTCCTCCCCCACGGGGAGGCACAAGAGCCCTTCAGGATCCCGCTGTGCCGGGGAACCCGGGCTGGCCGGGAGCCCGCGGGCAGCACCCGGCAGGGCTCGGGGAAGCAGTGCAGGTGACAGTTCAGGTGACAGAGCACCGGGTGGGGGCTGACCTCGTTGGGAACCTGCAGGGTGTGGCATCTCCCTGGGACAGAGGGCACGTCCTTGGGAGTGACCGCGGGCACCGTCAGCGACTCGCTGTGTCCCTTGGCATCACGGGCAGCGCTGCCAACCTGCTTCCAACCTGCTGCCAACCTGCTGCCAACCTGCTGCCAACCTGCTGCCAACCTGCCCTGGGACGTGCTGGGTGGGAAGGGTCAGTCCTCAGGGCAGCAGCCCTTCCTTCATCCACCCTCTGGGATTTGCTGCGTTAAGTCGTCTCCCAGGGTTTTCTGCTCTGCTGTGTCGTTGTTGGGGATCTCCTGCCAAGCCCAGGTGGGGATGCACCACCCCACAGAAGCTTCCCAAGTGGCTTCCCAGGGCCGTGAATCCCCTGAAATGGGAGAGAACTTGGGCACAAGTCCTGGAGCAGCCCTGAGTGAGTTCCCCTCGGGGCTCTGTGTCACCTTGGCACTCACAGAGTGGTGGCCCAAGAGCTGGTGCTGGGTGGGCATCAATCCACAGCATCCCAGTGCAGAGGAGGCCTTCTTGGAAAAGCTCTGGGGTTTTCCCTTTGTTTGCCCCTTCTATTTTTGCCTGGTGCCATCTTGTGCGGACCCACCAGACCGTGGCACTGGGGGGGTCACTCGCCCTAATTAATCAGTCAACCCTCCAAGCACAGCCCTGTGCTGCTGGCACCAGCCACACTCCTAATTAACTTTCCTAATTAAGAGGCCCCCTTCCATGACCAGAAGGGCTGTGGGATGGTCCCTATAATGGAGAAACCCTCAGCTTCTCCTCGCCCTGAGCACCTGGGGCGGCATCGCGGAGCTGGAGGTAAACTGAGGCAGGAGGGGGAAGCTCAAAGCAAAGGAAAGGCCAAAGAAAGGTGGGTGGAAAAGAGAAACGAGCTCCCCACGCCTTGACTTGTCTCCCTGGAACAGCACTTCTTGGCTGCTGCCGAGCCCTGGGGGTTCAGTCAAGGTTTGGTCTCGTCAGGGCGAGCTCAGCCGGCCCCGACACGCCAAACGCTGTGGATCATCCGCTGGCACCGGCTGGGCACCAACCGGCCCCTCCTGCCGTGGCCACGGGCTGGCCTGTCCCCAGCTCATGGCAGCCAGTGCAGGAAGCCACGCTGTGTCCCCTCTTTGTCCTCCTTGTGCTCCCTCTTTGTCCTCCTGCATCCCACCTCTCCCGCTGCACCAGGAATGGCAGCGGGAATTTATCGGCATCCAACACTTCTGTGGGATCCCTTCCAAGAATCCCTCCCTGTCCTTCTCTCCCCATCAAGAACCTGGAAGATCTTCTCAGTGCTTGGTGTTCACCAGAAAAACTTCTTTTCACGGGTTTTAAAGGAACTCCTGACATTCCCTGGACACACCCCTGGTGTCCCAGAGGATGTGTGGATAATGCCATGTCCACCAGGAACAGGCTCTGCTCAACCACCTGCAACATTTGGTCATTCTCGATCTTTGCAGGCTTTTCCCAAGCCCTGGGACACTTTGCTTGGGATGATGGAGGAGCTGGGATCCCCCTCTGCCAGGCTCCCACCCGGCAGCTCATTTTTGGTACAACTCAGGTTTGTTTTTTTTTAGGGGAGCTTCTAAAATTAAGAGCACAGGGGCACGAGTCCAGTGGGGGAGAACAAACTGCGAATCCACAAAGGAAAAGGAGTGGTTTTAATCTCTGTTTGGGAGATTTGCATACAATTAGGCCGGGCCCTGCCCGCCTTTGCTTCCGCATTGCACTCCCGTGAGGAACCTGCCGCTTTTCCTGCTCCGCTCCCAGCCAGACGCTGATTGCAAGGACACTCCCCCCGGGCAGCTGAGGGGCGAGGGGTTTGGGGGCTCCCTTTCCACCCCCAGTACCCCGTTCTGAGCAGCCCCCCGACACACCCCGCCCCTCGCCTCTGGATTTAGGGGCTCCGCCGAAGGGGGAGCATCGGTTCCCTCCCCGCGGCGCGGGAGGTGTGAGGAGATGCTGCGGGATGCAAACGCTCCCATAAATAGCTCGGTGTTTACAGGAGCCCGCTCGCCTGGGTTTATTTTTCTCTCTGCAGCGCAAACAGATCGTTCAGAGCCAGCCAAGCTCTCCTCAGCCCGTCACTCGCACAGCCCAGTGCCCAGAGCTGGCACAAAGCCACCGTCTCCAGACGGCCCCGGGATGCTCAGACCTCCCAGCCCCGGGCTGGGCACTCGCCCAAGGACGAGAGGGGGAAGCCCAAGGGCCACCAGCTGATGGAGAAGTCAGCCCTGGTTTGTGGTGGTTCCACGCTGATCCCACCCCTGCAGTGGGATGGGCAGGCTCTGGTGGAGGAGAGGATGAGGGTCAACCCCAAGGAGCAGATCCAGGTGTTGGGACATCTGTCACCGAGGCAGGAGGGGACAACTCCAGCCCAGAGTCTCACCAGGGGAGAGAGAAAGGATGGGGAGAGGGGCAAATGGGGGTCGGGAGAGTCCCTTTGCCCCACACCTGGGGTCGTAGCTGGTCCTGGTCCCTGCAGCACTCGGATAAACCAGCCCTGCTCCCTGGGGGGAGAATCGTGCAGGATGAGCCTTGCAGGAGCCTGTCCTGAAGGGCTTGGCTGGTTCAGCTCCATCAGTCAGGTCGAGCCCCCACACCCACTGTCTCTGCACTGCCCAGCCCGGGGGGTGGGGGTGGGGGGGATGGGGTTTGAAGGGTGACCATTTTCCCCAAAACTTCTCCGAGGACCTAAAACGGCGTCTGGTGCAAGCTCAGCACCAGTCTGGGGTCACCATCCCTCCACACACCTTGTCTGGACAGACCCTCCCCAGCAGACACCCCTGCACGGGGGGTGCTGCCTCCCCCTCTCAGCACGGGGTGCAGCCCCCCCAGCACCCGGGGGTGCCCCAGAAAGGTGAAGGGGGCTTTGGGGCTCACCCCCCGCCCACCCCCGCAGTCACTGGGGGTGAGACGTTGCCAGCCCGAGCCCCGGTGAGCAGTTCGGGTCTGAGCTGGGGTCCCGAGCCCCGAGCAGCGCTGTCCCAGCCGGGGTGATGGGCCGGGTCCTCGCCGCCCCCACCCCGCGCTCAGGCTCTGCCTCCTCCCTCCCCTCCCCGCCCCGATCCTCTGCTCACACCCGGCCTCAAGACCCGGTTTCGGTGCTAAAGCCGGGGCCCGAGCCGTGCCGGGAGCTGCGGGGCTGGGCCAGACTCCGCTGCTCCCCCAGCTGCCGCCTCCCGCCGCCCCCTGTCCTGCCACCGCCTCCGCCCGCCCACCCCGTCCCCCTTCCCCCGGTTCCTCCCGGTCCCGGCGAGCCCCGAATCGGGTCAGTCGCTCTTTAAACGCTGGAAGGCGGCACCATGTGATGCTCGGGCTCCGGCGGGGAGCGGGCAGCGCCTGCGGGAGCCGAGCGGTGCCGGGCACCGGGCACCGAGCGCAGCCCCGGCCCGGTCCCCGCAGCATCGTCCCGGCCGCCCCCCAGCATGAGCCCCGCCCCGCCCCGCGGGGGGACAGCTCTGCCTATTTTGGGGTGAGGACACCCCGAAACAAGCCCTGGCCTTGCAGGACAAGGTGAGAGGGGTCGGGGCGAGCGCGGGCGGGCCGGGACTCGGGGCTCGGGCGGCTCCGGGAGGCGGGGGGGAACCAGGCGGGAGGGATAGTGGGGATCCCGCTGCGGATCCATCAGCTCTGAGCGGGTCCGGCAGACGGGCCCGGGGCGGCCCGAGGGGCGCGGGGGGCTCTGCTGCTCTCCCTGGGCTGGTCGGGGGGTCCTCCTGCAGCGCCGGGAGCGGTGGCGCTACGGGATGAAGGTGAGTGCGGGACAGAGGTGGCTGCGGGACGGAGGTGACTGCGGGAGGGCGGTAACTGGGGACGGAGGTGGCTGCGGGATGAGCCCCGCGGGGGTGTCGGAGCCCAGGGGACGGCACAGACGGGAGGGGTTTTTTTGCCACCCCCCCGGCCAGGCTCCATCCCGCTCACAGGGCACTCAGAGATGCCAGTCCCTCACAGCCTCCCCGTGCACCTGCAGGTGACCGAGGGACCCCAGCGGGAGCGGGGGGGCACCGGAGCATCATGGCACACCCCATCTCAGCCTTCCAGGCTGCCTACATCTCCATCGAAGTGCTCATCGCCTTGGTGTCCGTGCCGGGCAACATCCTGGTCATCTGGGCTGTGAAGATGAACCAGGCACTGCGAGATGCCACTTTCTGCTTCATCGTGTCGCTGGCGGTGGCCGATGTGGCCGTGGGGGCTCTGGTCATCCCGCTGGCCATCATCATCAACATCGGCCCGCAGACGGAGTTTTACAGCTGCCTCATGGTGGCGTGTCCCGTCCTCATCCTCACCGAGAGCTCCATCCTGGCGCTCCTGGCCATCGCCGTGGATCGCTACCTGCGGGTGAAGATCCCTGTCAGGTAGGAAGGCGCGTCGGGACCGGCCCTGCGGGGGTTAACAGGGAGTGGGGATGCCTCAAGCTCTTGGAGAAGCACTGGGAGAAAGGTCTTCCTGCACTCTGCCGTCCCAGACACGTCTGGCTGCGGCAGCGACCGGGACAGGCTGGGCTGGGGGGGTCCTGGAGCCTCCAGCAGCTTCTTTTGGGGGTTTGGGGGGTGCTGGGTGTGCAGGCAGAATCATAGTCCCTCAAGGACCCCCGTGGCCAGGACAAAGTGTGTCCCCACACTCGGGAGAGCCCCGGTGTGGTGCTCAGGGAAGGGGACACGGATTTGGCTTCCAGCCCAGGTTCTCCCTCACCATGGGGACTCAGGAGCCCCGGGGGGACAACCTGCTGGCTCATGGACATGTGGGACAGAGCTCTGAGAGACCAGAGGTGCCAGCCTGGCATGTTTCTTGGGGCAGCCTCACCCAGGAGAGAGCCCACAAATGACTCTTTTCCGTTTTCCCCGTCTCATCACCCCCATCTGCTGCCATTCCAAGCCCAGAGCAGGTACCTTGGGGTGTGAATGAGGGGGACACTCCGTGTTTGAGCTCTGCTGCTCCAGGAGGAGACATTTAACCCTTTGTGCCCTGTCAGGGCTGTGCTGCAGCCCCTGGGGCTTGGGGGTGTCACAGTGGGGCTGGGGGCTGCCAGTGGGGCTGGAAGGGGAGGGGACACCCAGCCTGGGTGCTGTTCCAGTGCATCCCAGCTCACCCCTCAGCAAGCAGCTGCTCTCCCTGGTCCCCCTTGCTCTGCTCAAGGACATTCCTGGGCTGCAGGGACACCTCAGCACTGCTGGAAAGCAGCCCAGCCCAGCCCAGCACACCCCACTGCTGCCACCCCCCTGACCCCGTGGCAGCCCAGACAGTTTGCTGGAGGGGTCCCCGACTCTTCATCAGCACAAACACCCCCGAAGGGCACCCAAACTCAAACTCCTCAGGGCAGGAACGGCCTTCCCATCCTGGGAGACAGGAACACCAGCGTGGGGATCAACTGACAGCCCCAGAGTGCTCAGTGTTCCCAGATCCATGGGATCCATGGGATCAGGCCAGGGATGTGTTGCTTTGGGGTTTTCCTGCCCCCACAGCCAGTGGAGCTGCCTGGGGAAGGAGTGTAAGACGAGGGGGTGGGGGGGGGCGCAGGATAAATCCACAGTTCCTGCCCACCCCCTCCCCACCACACATGATCTCACAGACTGTTCCCAACTTCCTCCCTGGCTGTGATTTTCCCACCCTGACGAATCCCTGTCTCCCAGCCTGTCAGTGTCACCGAAGCAATTCCCACCCTGTCGCTGCTCACGGGGCTTTTTTGGGCTCTCTCATTCCCTGCGTGGGGTGTGGGAGTTCTGCAGACTTCCAGCAGCACTGCCTGGCATTTTCCTCCCAACCCCAGCCCCTTTTCCTCCTTTGCTGCTCCCTGGGCCTTTTCTTTTGGGAGATTCCTGTCCTGACCCAGGAGCGATATTAACTTGGAGTGTAGTTTAAGTGGGTTTTTCTCCCGCAGTGTCCCCCCGGAATTTTATCATCCCATTCCGTGTCTGAGCACTTGGCACCAGGAGATTTTCCTCTGTCTTTTCATAGCCTACTTTAATATTGAAAAGCTTTGCAGCCTCATCAACTTAATGGTTGCACACTTGGAGGTGTTTCCCAACCTTACTGATTCTGTGACTGGATGAATTCCCAGTGGCTGGAAATGCAGGGATTTTAGGGGATGTTGTGCCCTATATACAGCAAGTAAGAGAGGAAACACCATAAAGGATATTCCCTGAGTCTGTAATGCCTCGAGTTTCTCCTGCCCTGTTGCAGGATGATGAAAGATGAGACTGGAAATATTTTTCCAGCTGGAATTGAAGCTTTGGGGTGCCACCCCAGAGAGGTTTGTGGGCAGGTGGGGGGTGAGGAGGGGGATTCTCGGCCTCAGGCCCATCCCTAGGGCAGCCAGGACATGGGGCAGGGACAGTGTGCACTCTGCAGCCTGTCCCTGTGCCAGGGAAATTCCGCAGATAAGCCTGGCACAAGGTGGATGTTTGCCAGGGTGATCCATACATGGCTGAGGGGTCTTGTGGGATGGGATTCCTGGGGATCCCGTGCATTTCCAGACCTGCTCTCTGCTCACAGGAGGCTCAGGGAGAGGGGAATGGCTCTCACAGAATCCCAGGATGGTTTGGGTGGGAAGGGATCCTAAAGTTCACCCAGTTCCATGGGCAGGGACACCCCAGCCCAGGTTACTCCAAGTTTATCCAATCCAGCCTTGGGCACTTCCAGGGATGGGGCAGCCACAGCTTCTCTGGGGATTCCATCCCAGCCCCTCACCACCCTCCCAGGAAAGAATTCCTTCCCAATATCCCATCTCTCCCTGCCCTCTGGCAGCAGGAAGCCATTTCCAACAGGGAATTTCCCAGAGGCAGCTGCCAGGGCCTGGGAGCAGCAGGAGAGGGGCTCCAGGAATCCCTGCCCCTCCCAAACACCAGCCCCACTCCAGGGTCCCCACGTGCATTTTGGGTGTCCTGAAGGGCTCTGTGAGGTTTTCCATGTCCCTGTCACGTCCCCAGCTGGGGGGAGAAGCCAGCAGGACTCTTGGCTGGTGGGGAGAAACAAAGTCACCTCAGGGCTTTTCCAGCCTTTCCATTCAATCCGACTGGAAGTGCGGCCTGGCAGGGACAGGGAACACGGTGCATCAAGACCTGACTCCAGCTCCAGGCTCCCCAGGGACATCCCAGCCCTTGGGGGACAGCCTGCAGGTCTGATCCTTCTTCCAGCAAACCCCTGGCCTGTCCCGGTGCCAGAGCTGAGCCCCGGGGGACATCAGGAGCTCTGTGGCCCCGGGGTGGGGGTTTCCTGGCACTAAACGGTGCCCTGAGCCCCTGGGGAGTCCCAGGATGGCAGTGGGAGATGCCAAAGCAGCACCAAACTCCCTGCCTTGGGATCCTCCGTGGCACAGAAGCCCAGAGGAATCAGCTGCTCATTGCAGGGGGAGGCAGATTTACCCAGACAGAGAGAAAAATCCCGGGTTTGGGGGTTTGTTTCTGTTTTGTTTGGCTCTGAGGTGGCACCTCCTTCCTCCTGCTCCCCCTGCCCCACCCAGCACACACCCAGCAAGGTGGGGGAACCAGGATATCCCAACAAACCCAAATCCCTCTGCCCCAACCTCTGGATATCTCCCCTGCTGGCTCCTGGGGTCTGACCGGTGCTGCCTCCTCCCAGGGGGTCTTTCCTTGACCACGGGGGATGCAAGAGCATTGTTTGGGCTGAGCAGGCTGGAGCAGAGGATACCCCCTCCCCACCCACAGGGGCTACCCTAAACAGCTGCAAACCACCTAAAATAGCTCTGCTGCCTCCCCGCCGGTGGGAGAGCTCCCACCTCCCCTCTCACATCCTTCCTCTGCGCCGGCGACAGGGCAGGACCCCCATCCTGCCCCCCCCCCGACCCCAGCCGGGCCCAGCGGGGTCCCCCCAGCCCAGACCAAACTTCCCTCTGGCAGCCGTGGCTGGGGGAGATGAAACGAGTTCAAAGGGAGGGGAAGGAGCCGGCTGGGGGGTTCGGGCAGGAACTGCCCCCTCGGCAGCCCCTGCAGGCAGGAACTGCCCCCTAAGCAGCCCCCGCAGGCAGGAACAGCCCCCTGAACAGCCCCTGCAGGCAGGAACCCGCAGGATGCTGGAGGAGATGATGCCGGGGGGGATGTTTGGGGTGGATATTGAGCTCCTTTGTCAGCACCCTCTGCTGCCCTGGGGGTCCATCTGTGCTCTGAGATGTGTTTTGGGCCACAGCAGAGGGAGTTGGTGTCCTTGGGATGCACCAAACAGCCCTTCGGCTGGGGCTGCTGGGTCTGTGGAGCACCCCCAGGGCTGTCTTGGGGTGTCCTTTGGGTTCCTCACCCCCAACCCTTTGAAAGGTGTGCCAGGAAGAGAAAACCTGCAGAAATTTGCTGGTTTGCCTCGTTTATGGGGTCTCTACTCCACAGCAAGGCCCCCCACCCTCCGAGCCCAAACCCCAACTTTGGGGTCCCCCCCTGTGGCATCCCAGGGATCATCCCCCCAGGGTGAGCTGCATTTCCTGGTGCTCAGGGTTTGGAATACTCATTGAGGCTGCAGAGCCACGGAAACCAGGCCAGGATGGGGTGGAAATCCCTGGGAATCAGGGGGACAGGAGGCTGGGGGGCAGCAGAGGGCGGGCCCAGGGTAGGGTAGGCAGTGGCAGCGCTGGCATTCCCGGAGCTCAGGGAAAGCAGGAGCATCCCGGGCCCTGCCCTGCAGTGCCTGCAAGGCAGGAGGGGAGGGGGACGTGCAGGTGGCCTGGGAGCTCTCGGATGGACGTGGCAGAGGAAGGGGGAAGCTTTTCCCCGCTGGACTCCCTGTTTTCAGGCTCCTGCCGGGCTTGCAGATGCTCTTTGCCCTTCTCTCCAGCCCTGCCAAGGGCCTCAGGCCTGGGGCCAGCTGGGGCTGGGTCATAGCAGGCCTGGGAAGGCTCTTTCCCCTCAGCCAGCTGGGCTGTGGAGCAGGACACACATCCCAGAGGGCTTTTGCCCCTTTCAGGTGTCCCAGAGAAGCTGCCCCATCCCTGGAGTGTCCCAGGCCAGGCTGGATGGAGCAACCTGGGCTGGTGGAAGGTGTCCCTGCCCATGGCAGGGGGTGGAATGAGATGAGTTTGAAGGTCCCTTCCCACCGAAACCATCCTGGAATTCCATGATTCCTCCAGCATTTCATGGAGGGGCTCAGCAGGCACCCCCTGCCATGGGAGTGGGATGGGAGGATGTTGGGATGAGACCCTGCTTTGGCCCAAATTCCCAGGCACTAAAAAACCCAGAGGCCGTGGGACATCTTCCCACCTTTCCACTTATCCACTAAAGTGCCAGGAAACCTCCCTGGGCACTTGGGATCTGAGGAATATTTTCATTGGGTTTTTTTCCCCCCTTTCTCCTGATTTTCAGGATAAAGCACCAACCCTTGATGATGAATCCCCAGTAAATTTGAAGGCAGGTCC